TCCTGATAAAAAATGGCAGTTTTCAAGTAACTGAAATGATTAAACTAACTCTGAATTCGATAGTTTATCAGAGCCCTTAGAGAAATGTGAACGTGAAATAAACAATGTGATCAGCTTATTCAAAACAGTTGACGAAGATTTAATCAAAATAATGGGGAACGTGTATATAAAAGGCAGCAGCAAACAGGGGCGCCTGGGGGTTCAGTCTGTTAAGTGGCCGACTCTTGGTTTCGGCTCGGGTCCTGATCTCACGGTTGTGGGTTCCAGCCCCACATCAGGCTCTGCGCCGAGTGAGGAGCTTGCTTGGGATTCTCTCTCTCTCTCTCTCTCTCTCTCTCTCTGCCCCTCTGGCACACGAGCACACACACACTCTCTAAATTGATAAACTTAAAAAATGCAGCGGCAAATAAAACAAATCAGGAGACTTTTGCTTCTCACCAAAACGGAACTGCAAGGAATGGATTCATCTTTCGGCGTGAAACAAGAAAAGCCAATACAGAAAACAGAAAACAACAGAACCGTGATTTTCCACGCGGTGGGTGCGGGCAGCGAAACGGAACGAGCCCAGAGCAGAAGGAAGCAAAGCAGGTGAGCCCCACACTTGTCCCCGTTGGAGGCTGGAGAGTCCCCGGGCCGTGGTGCAGGTGGAGAGGACAAGGACTCGCCAGCCGCCGGGGAGACCGGGGCGGTGTGAGCGGGAGGACAGAGTGTCAGCAAGGACAGAGCTGCAGGGGGAGGTCCCTCTTCTGCACTCACAGGGCCCCGTCAGCGCACGCGTGTCAGGAGGGTCCTCAAGTTAAAGAAGGGATCATCTGGAAGGATTGGAGGGGATGGCGGCCTGGTCGCCCCAGCGGGACGGCTGACGAACTGGAAGGCATCTCTGTAAATGGTCAAAATGAAAACTGCTCAGAGAAAACAGTTAAAAATGAAAAGAGCAGCAGTGAGCTGGGGCCCCTTCGAGGCGTGTAACAGATGTGTGACTGGAGACCCTGAAAGCGAGGAGGGAGTGAGCTGGGGGCAGGAAATGTACCTGAGGAAAGAATGGCTGAAAACGCCCCCGATTCGACAAACGCCGTCAACCCACGCGGCACCCGACAGCTCGGGACACCAGGCACAGGCCACGGGAGGCAATGACCCCGCGCACCAGACTCAACTGCTCGAAGCCGGCAGTAACGGAGACACGGTGAAGGGGCCGGTAAGGAGAGGACACGTCACACGCAGAGCAGCAGGCAGGGCTGGCGGCAGGTGTCCTGCTGGAAGCCAGGGGGGTGACGGGGCCGAGAAGCGGCATCTGCAAAGTGCTGAACGCACAAAACCCAAACCAGAATCGCAGACCCAGCCGGCGTTCTCTCAGGAACAAAGATTAAGTAGAGATCTTTGCGGACACACAGCGCCGGAAGGAGATGGCCACCAGCGGGCCTGTGCGGCAAGAAGTGGTGAGGGGCGCTTCGGGCAGACACCCGCGTCTGCATAAGGAAACAAGGGTCACTGCAGAGGGAGACTCTGTGGGGAAGTAGAGACCCTTTCCTATGTCATCTCTTCTAAAAATGTAAGACATGGGTTTTTATACAACGATAATGGCCACGTATGACCTGTGGGTAAAATGTGGGGCACGGTTATCAAGAGAGGGCGCCGTCTTCAGGTGCGCATACTACCTGTGGAACGGAGTGTCATTCGAAGGGGGGCTGTCTGTGCCACGTCCGTAAACCCTAATTCAAAAATAACGAAGGGTTACAGCTAATAAGCCAACGTAGGAGACACAAGAGAATCATAAAAATACGAAGTGAATCTAGAAAAATTCAGAAAATGACAAAAAACAGAACAGAGACTACGTGGGACCGATAGAAAACAGCTATGCGATGGACTGGAGTCTAAATACATTAATAACCACAGTATGATTATCCAGACCTGTGTAGAGCGTCTGGATATCCCAATAGAAAGATGATCAGTTTGGATAAAAAAACCCAGACCTACAAGAAAATGGATTTTAACTATAAAACACAAATAGCTTGAGTAAAGGATGAGGAAAATACTCCACGCTGACACTCATCGACAGGAAGCCGGAGCGGCTACTTCAGCATCAGACAAAGTGGACTGTGGACACGAGGACCCTGCTAGGGATAAAGAAGGCCATCCCATGATAATAAAGCGGCCAACTCATCTGGAGGACACAACAACATTAGACATTTTCGCACCCGGTAACAGAGTTTCAAAACAAAAAAAGCTAAAGTGGGCAGAACCTCAAGGACAGACGGACAAATGGGCGCGGGGCTGCACAGGTCGTAAGATACGAGATTAACACACACAGATCAGTTTTGCTTCTCTGCACTTGCTGGTGCCATCAAATTAATCAAGTTCCACGCCACCCCCATCAAGACCCCAGCACACTTTTTTGTGTGGAAAATTAGCAACCGATTCTAAAATTCGTATGGAACTGTAAAAGGACCTAGAATGGTCAAAACGACTTTGAAAAAGAACACGTTTGGAGGACGGACGCTACCTGATTTCAAGACTCATTACAGGGCCGAAGTGATCAGGACCATTTGGTTGGGGCATAAAGGTAAACAAGAGATCAATGGGACAGAACAGAGGGCCCAGAACAGACCCACACACACACGGAGAACTGCTTTTTGATAAAGGTACAGAGGCAGTTCAGAGGGGGCATACAATCACAAAACTTCTAGAAGAAAACATACAAGAAAATCTTTGTGATCTTGGGCTAGTCTTATCTTCCTTGTCTTAGATAAGACACTGAAAACACAGTCCATGAAACAACCAATTGATAAATCAGACTTCATCAAAATTAAAAACTTCTGCTGTTCAAAAGACATCACTGAGAGAATGAAAACACAAGTCACAGACTGGAAGAAAAGATTTGTGAAGCGTATATGTGATAAAGGACTCCTAGTTAGAATATACCAAGACTCTCTGGGGCGCCCGGGTGGCTCAGTCAGTTAAGCGTCCAACTTCAACTCAGGTCATGATCTCGTAGTTTGTGGGTTTGAGCCCCGCGTTGGGCTCTGTGCTGACAGCTCCGAGCCTGGAGCCTGGAGCCCCCTTCCGATTCTGTGTCTCCCTCTCCCTCTGCCCCTCCCCCGCTGGCACTCTGTCTCTCTCAAAAATAAATGTTAAAAAAATTTTTTTAAAAAGAATATATAAAGACTCAAAACTTAATTAAAAAACACACTAAGAAACTGGCAAAAATTTTGAACACACACTTCAGCAAAGAAGGTATAGATGTCCAATAAGCACAAGAAAGGAAACTCAGTGTCACCGTCATCAGGGAAATGCAGGCTGAAGCCACAATGAGCTACCACCTCACACGCCCCTGGATGGCTAACAGGAGAGACAAAGAGCATTGCCGTATGTCGCTGAGGACGTGCCGTGCCTGGAACCGCCCTGCACTGTGGACAGAATGTAAAATGGTACGACCCCCTGGAAGCAATGTAGACACTTCCTAAAAAGTTAAACAATATACTTGTCACATACACGGTCCAGGCCCTCCACTCACGGGTATTTATTTACCCAAGAGGAATGAAAGAATGCATCCGCACAGACACGTGCATGGCAATGCGCGTGTGAGCCTGCCCTGCTGACGCCTCCTCGCCGCGGTTTGGGGCCACTCCCTGGAGCCCAGCTCGCCACGGGGCCTGGGGTCGGTGACACGCAGGCGCTCTTCCTGACTCCTGCCGGGTGTCCCACGTGGAGTCCCCCACAGCGCTCCCCAAATCGCTCCTGGGCTCCTGCTTCCACGTGTCTCCAGCCTGGACTGTGCGGACCTCAGAGCCCAGGTTTCCACGGTCACCCCCAGCAAGGCCCAGCCGCGTGCCCGTCCCCGGCCACCGCTACAGCCCTGCCCTTCATGGACGGCGAGTCGTCTTTCTAGAGCTCAGACCGAGAGCCTTCCTGCCCGCCTGGACCCTCTCTTTCACAGCCCACTTCTGATCTGTTGGGAATCCTGTCAGTTCTCCTCTGAGATGCCTCCGGAACACGGTGCTCTGTGGCCCAGAGCCCCACCTTCCGTCGTCGGTCCCCGCAGCCCCCCTCGCTCAGAGAGCCGCATGGGGTACCCTCCTGTGTCTCCTGCTCTCTTCTTTTTACCTGCGTGAGCTCCCGCCGCCCCTCTGCCGCTCTTCTCCAGAACACCCCACTTCCGACCCCTCCCCACCGTGGCTTTACCCTCCGTCCACAGCCTCTTTCACCCTCTAAGATGCTTACTCAAGCCATCCACTGGCCGTCCACCGCCCCAGCGCTGGAGGAGGCCTGGGTCCATCACGTCCCTGCCAGCTCCTGGGCCTGGAGCCCCTACCCTCGACCAGGGTGTCCGGGTGGTCTGGGCACCCAGGGCAGACAGGAAGGGCCCTGAGAGGCAGGCACTGTGGGCAGGCTGTCCCCGGCTACTGGATGCCTGCTCGGTCTGGAGAGGCTGAGGGTCTCTGCCTTTGAGTACCCCCTGTGCCGGAGGCCCAGGTCCTTTGTTGTCTGTCCTGAGGGAGTGTGGGGGCTGTCCACGGCGGTGCCGGTGTCCCACCCGGGGCTTCAGTGCCCAGAAGAGGCACAGCAGGCTCTGGAGGGGAGCACAGCAGGCTCTGGAGGGGAGCACAGTGAGCGGACCTGACCGTTGGCTCTAGAGTGGAGCGCATGGCTCTGCAGGCTGGGCAGAGAGCCACACTCTCTGGCCGGGGGGTTGGCTACTGTCACCGTGCGTGGCCCGGCCTCCCCAGCCCACAGTGGTGGTGGTGGGAGAGGTGAGTTCTACTAATTAGAAATGGTGTTTTCATTATTGTCATTTTAGGAAGTTTGGCACAAGCAACACTAGGACGACCTTGCAAGCCAGATATTTAAGAAGAGTTGGGGAGGGAATGAGATTCTAATCCATGTGAGAAGGAACCAGCTTCTGTAGCCAGCAGGCCGGCCATGGGGGGGGGGGGGCGGCGGCGGGGGGCTGCACGTGCGCACAGGGGCGGGGTCGAGTGGAGGGCACAGACGGGAGCCAGAGCCAGTGGGGGGCAGCGCACAACATTTATTGAACTCTGCCATGGTGCAGAGGCGCTTCCTGGCCAGCCACCCTGGAAGATGCCTGGGGGCCCACGCGTGCGTCCCCAGCACATGACGCGACGACTCAGTGAGGTCAAGACTCCAGCACCCACGGCCTCACCTGCACAGTGGGTTAGGACCCTGTCCTCCGTTCTCCTTCCCCGCAACAGAGGGAGCGCGCCCCTGCCCCCAGCGCAGGCCCGGTGGGCACGTGGGAGCGAGCACAGGCTTCGGGGAGCAGAGTCAGCACGGGGTGGGGGAACAGCTGGGCGGGAGCGAACCCGTTCAAAGCAACCACGGTTCTGGGAGAGACGGCTTGTGGGATGTGCTGTCGGAATGTCAAACCAATTCTTTAACAGGTACACTGACACTAAGGGACAGTATTTCTAAAATGTCACAGATGGGAATGCCCCCAAAGCATTTAAAATAATTAACACTGCATGCCAATGCATGAACAGACGAGCATAAATTAATTCCCAGAGAGGTATTGGGGACAGAGCCTGGAGCTGACACAGAGAGAATATAGATTTGCTCTGTTGGTGTGTATGTCTACGGCATATAACTTTCGTTAGTAAAGAAAACCTCTATTTATATTTGCGACGCAGGGCAGGTGGGCGGTCTGTACAGAGTGTGCGAGCCGGGTGGAGGTCAGGTTCACGGAGCGGAGGCCGAAGGGCAGGATTAGAGTGCTCCCATCCCAGTGACCTCAGACGTCAGCCTGGAAGACACAGAAGTACAGAGGAGACAGGTCACAATGTTCTCATAAAACGGTTCCAGAAGCGAAAGGCTCACCTCGTGTTTTTGTTTTTTTTAAGTTTATTTATCTTGGGAGAGAGAAAGGGAGCAGGGGAGGGAGAGAAGGAGTGGGAGAGAGGGAATCCCAAGCAGGTTCTGCGCTGTTAGCACAGAGCCCGACACGGGGCTCGAACCCACTCGAACCCACGCACCGTGAGATCATGACCTGAGCTGAAATCAAGAGTCAGACCCTCGGCCCACGGAGCCATCCAGGCGCTCAGCCCTGTGTGTTCTTATAGCCTTTGTGTCCGTCTCCCTCTTGGCTGTGACAGATGTGTGGCCATGACTGGAGACCAAAGCAGAGCAGAGGGAGGAGGACCCACTGGCGACCAGGTCGGCGGGGTCTGCCTTCCCTGTCACCACATCTCAGCAGAGTGACAATAACCCCATGGACAAGCACAGGCCACCACAACCATCTGTATGCAGCCGCTGCAGGAGGGGCACCGCGGAGTGGAGACCGCCTTCTGAGAGCCCAGACGTTCCGAGTTAAAGAGGAGGGTCCTGCCTCCCCGGGTGTGGTCACGTGCTCTCCGACATGCGCCTGGGCAGGGCAGCTGAGGTGAGCGTCCCAGCCCCAGGACCTCACCTGCCCCATGGCCTAACCTCTGACCCTCACACAGTCCCTGGATCCGCTGCTCAGCGGGGTCTGGGTGGCGGGGAAGGGGCGCGTGGGAGCAGAATGGCCCGGTACTGTGATCTCTGAAACCACATAACCGAATCAACCCAAGTGTTTGGCTGACCCCTGGCCTTCCCGGAAACGCTCCGGCCTGTAACGACCTAGCCCTGCACTGGAGACGCTCCATGGTGAACGGTCAGGTGTGAATGTGCAGAGGGGGGTGTGGGGGCCCGAGTCGGTGTGGTGACTGTCTCCATCACGCCCACCCCCACCCCCGGCCAGGAGAGAGAAGCCCCCAGAGGGGACAGGCATCCGGGCTCCCACCAGGGCCCTCCAGTCCCCCTGAGCACCCTGTCTGCCAGCAACACGTTGGGCAGGGCCTTGTGAACACTCACCTGGCATTGATGAGGTACTGGGCAAGGCTGATGTTGGCTGGGGTCCCCGTGATGGTGATCTGGCGCTCCGATGACCCTTCTGTGGCATTGGCGATTTTGATCTGAGCTCCAGACATCTGTCGAATTTCATTGATTTTGGTCCCTTGGCGTCCAATTATGCAGCCTATTAGCTAGAAAAAAGGACAGAGGACTTCCTTAGAGAAGGGACCCCACCCCAGCTGAGTGTGCACAGGGCCCTGGGGAGGCCCCTGGACAGCCTAACCTTGGTCTGCGCCCCACTCCACGAACTCCAGGCTGCCGACGGCCGGGCCCTGCCTGGTGCCCCTGCTGCCGCAGTCCTGACAGGTCCGCAGGCCGAGAGGCACCTGCTGTGTCACCTGCCCTGGTGCCCTTCAGGGCCTGGGCACCGGGGAGCACACAGGTGCCAGCACCAGGGCCCTCTTGGCCGCGTCCTCAGCTGGAGAAGTGTTTGAAGCCAGTTTAAAGCTTGTTGCTGCCTAAAACCTGTCTCTTGATGAGCCTGGGTGAAAGTCTGAGGACGCATCGGATGTTCCCTTTCCTTCCCACCGTGTGACCCGTTTAGGTGGGATGCAGTGACCTCTGGGCACTCTGGGCCATCTGAAGGAGTAGTCAGTCATCATGAATCAAGCAGTCAGAAGGACCAGAGCCGGGGCCCCTTGGGACACAGAGGCAGCCACGCATGGGGCCGGACGGCAGCCTGGGGTCTAGACCAACTCTCTGTGGGGGCCCACCCTGCAGTGTAGGGGCAGTAGGGCCCCAGAGAGGCCTCCACAGGGGGCAGCTGGCACCTCTTGGTGTTTACCAAGGGCAGAACGGGGCGCTGCCCTTAGCCAGGGGCCGCCGAGGGCAGCTCTGAGAGCACACACGGGCCGGGGTGGGCCCGGGGCAGCCCTGTGGGGAAGTCTTCTGTTCCAGCCTCAGAGCCGTCCGACGGAGGGGCTGGAGACGGTGTGGGACGGTGCGCGGGGAGGAAGCCCATTTACACACGACACACCTCAGCACCTAGGTGGTGACCGCAGCTCGTGGGGACACAGTTGCGTCCCGACTCGCTCTCATCCCTAAGGTGACCTGCAGCATCTCAGTTCTGCTCTCCTTTCTGGGGTTAGGTCGGCTGTCTCACTGCACCATCAATCTCTCCAGACGTCCAGAAAGACGCATCTGCTCCAGAGCTGCCCGGCTTCCTCTACCTCCTGCCCCCATCTCCCGAGGCCCTGCCCCCACCCAGGCCCCGCCCACTGCACACCAGGCCCCGCCCCTCAAGGTCTGTGAGAGTGACTTCCAGGGTCACCCTTCTGGATCTTTGACTTGTCCTTCCCCGGCCGCAGAGGAATCTTGAGAGCGGCTCCCCAGTGGGGCAGGCAGGTGACAGCTGGGCATGTGGGCTGGCATGGGGGCAGCACCGGCCCCTGATGGAGGGAGCATGTGGGGCCAGTCCCCAGAAGATGCCAGTGCTCAGGAGGGCCCCTGGGCTTCCTCCCCTCCCATCCTCACACTTTGGCCACTAGCAGCCCAATCTCCCTTCTAGAACCTTCCCCCTTCAGTGCAAGTAGCCCCAGCTGAGCTAAGATTCTCCTGCAGAACCGGCTTGTTTTCTCCTCCAGTAAAGCCTATTTGAGGAAATGATCTCCTCTGTCTGGCACAAAGACTCGCGTTCTCTCAAATATCTTCCTCTTCCTATTTTCTTGCTGAAAACGTCCTGACGCCCAGCCCTTGATACTTCGACAGCATGGGCCAAGTGAGTTCTGAAACAGGCAGTGAGCGCCTAAAGTGACACCAGCCCAAGGCCAATGATACCAAGGCCAGGGGAGTACAGGACCACCACCACAGGCAGCCCCACACACGGCTGCCGGCCCTGACCCCAACTGGGTCCCTGTGGCCTCGCCGGCAGGCGGCCAGACTATGGAACCTACGTGTGACGTAGGTCACTGCACGTGCCTGCCATCCAGAGGCTGTGGCGACACGTAGGTGTGGGCAGGACCTCCCTTTGCAGTCTAGCTTTGACCAGGGACGGAGAAGTGCGGTATGGCAGGCGTGCATCTGGACATGGGCTCTGGGCACAGGTGCCTCCCCTGGGGGGGGGGGGTCAGGGCGGGGGGGCACGAGAAAGTCCCCAGCAGAGCTGTCACAAGGTCTCCTCCCAGGATGAGCCCCCTCAGAGCACGCGGATCCAAGAAGACACCCTCCCCCGGAGGAGGCTGGCAGCACGGCGCTGTGGGCAAGGTGGCACGTGTATGCCCAGGATGCACCCCGCTCTCCCAGACAGCCTCATCCTGTCCCGTTTGCCCCCTGGGCTCATCTCTGCTTAGAAGGAAGGCCCAGACAAGAGGAAGGTGCCTGTCGTTAGTGCAATGGTTTCAGCAGAGGTTGGGAGGAGAAGGCCCACAGCAGACAGTGGTCCCTACAGCTACCACGTGGGCGAAGACTGGGGGCTGCTCAAGGATCATCACGCAGGAGGACAGAGCAGGGAGCCCCGGGAGCAGAAACACTCTCCCTTGGAGGACGCAGGAGCACGTCACCCATGAAGGCTCCGGGCCTGCGGCTGGCCACCAGGGCCCCGACGAGGGGGTGTTTCCTGGGGGTGGGGGGCGGTCCCTTCCTCTGGCCCTATGCCTCACTCCTCTCCTGCCCTACTGCTCATCTCTGTCCACACTCACGAGGGACCATCCCCCTGAAGCCACGACTCCGTGCTTCTCTTAAGGAAGAGGAGGGACTTCTTGCCCAGCTGGTTCAAGGGGCAAAGCAGTGAAGGATCCTCAGGAAAGGCCTCAGTTCTAGGGTTGAAGAGGCCAAATGACAGGTGAGCTGGGAAGGCCACGTCGCCCACACAGCAGCCTCCTCTGCGGGCATGGACAGCTGTCCCTCCAGGACACGTGGCCCACACCTACCCTGGTGTCTTGGTTTGGGATCAGAGTCTGCATCTTTAGGATAATCCAAGGGTTCAGAGGACAAAGTGGGTAGGGCTGAGCATGTGGCTCAGCTGAGCCCTGGGCGGGAACAGGCAGTGGGCACCAAATACAGGCATCCAGACACACCCGGGGCACCCTGCTTGCGGGAACCCCAGACCCCCTGAGGCCCGGGGTGCACGGGGCAGGTCCACTCCAGAGCATTCCTGGACCACCTGTTCCTTAAGGGCCAACCCTGAAGCAGACTCCTTAGATGGGAGACTCGGGGGTCTTGGGCCTGTGGCCAGCTCTGGCATCTGAATCCTGAATAAAACCCCACCCCCCTTTCCTGTCTAGAATCTCAGGGGTGTGACATCACATGCCGTCTGTGGACATTGCACCTAGCCATGGGAAGGTGGGGAGTGGTCCCGGGCAGGGTGGGGGCGGGCGAGGGTTCAGGCATACTCACATCGTTGGGAATGGTGAGCTCGTGAGTACTGGCCGGGGGGCTGACGTCCAGACCTGGGCACACCAAGGGGACACGGTTAGCCTGGGAGCAGGTGGCTCATGTCAAGCCCAGCACCCGCCCACACGGCCCACATGGGCCCAGGCTCTGTGAGTGAGCTCAGTCCCAAACCGCAACCAACCGCTGGAGCCCCAGCTTCTCTCGAAACAAGGAAAAGAATGCCTGAGCATGGGCACCTCGTGGTTTTACTCCTGTGCGTGATGGCTCGGGATGCCCTTCACAGACTGCTGGGGGACCCGTGCTGAGCGGCTCTTTGCATGTGTGTGTGTGTGTGTGTGTGTGTGTGTGTGTCCCTGGGCTCTCGGCCCCCTCTGCACCCCTGGTCGTGTGTGTGTGTGTGTGTGTGTGTGTGTGTGTGTGTGTCTGGGCCCTTGGCCCCCTCTACACCCTTGGTTGTGTGTGTGTGTGTGTGTGTGTGTGTGTGTGTCCCTGGGCTCTCAGCCCCCTCTGCACCCCTGGTCGTGTGTGTGTGTGCGTGTGTGTGTCTGGGCTCTTGGCCCCCTCTGCACCCTTGGTCGTGTGTGTGTGTGTGTGTGTGTGTGTGTGTGTCTGGGCTCTCGGCCCCCTCTGCACCCCTGGTCGTGTGTGTGTGTGTGTGTGTGTGTGTGTCCCTGGGCTCTCGGCCCCCTCTGCACCCCTGGTCGTGTGTGTGTGTGTGTGTGTGTCTGGGCTCTCGGCCCCCTCTGCACCCCTGGTCGAGTGTGTGTGTGTGTGTGTGTGTGTGTGTGTGTGTCTGGGCTCTCGGTCCCCTCTGCACCCCTGGTCCAGCTGCCCCTAACTGCCTTCTGCCCCAAACTGCTCTGCGGCCCAGATAGCCCCGTGATGCAGCGGTGAGCCGACATCGGTGTTCTAAGTGCAGACACAGGCCTAGTTGGTCGCCAGGCCCCCAAGTTTTAGCTTTGCCAGTGTCAGCTCAGGGCCTGCCACATCAAAGACCACTTCTCAGACGACTCACAGGACAGGATCCGCTTTTGCTCTGGAAACAGGGTCAACAGAGCCCGTGCTGGGCAGGCTCCCTGCCCTCAGCACTTGTCTCCTTGTCTGGAGGCATCACAAGCACCAAGTCCACAGCGGACACCCTCCTTCCTCCCTGCAGGCCCCACGCGCGTCCGAGCGCAGCCCAGACCCCAGAGTCTGTACACGCAGCCAACCGTCGCAGCCCGGCTGGTACCGTCAGAATATTCCAGAGCCCCAGACCTCTTGTCTCCCCGCTCCTGGCTCCTGCCTCTGTCCCTGCCCCTTGGTCTACTCTCCACGGGCCCAGAGGGTCCTAAGGACACACGGGTCAGATGCCTTCAAGACCGTCCCAGACCATCTGGTGGGGTCCTGCCCCCACCACGGCCTCCTCCCCTCTTCCTGCATCTCCTATGGCACTCGTGTCCCCAACACCAGATGCACCGCGGTCCTCAGTCTCTGCCATGAGAGACCCTACCGGGGCCCGTCTTGCCTGGGCGGGGAAGGCGGGGGCGGTCAGTTGGCATGTCCTGAATGAACTAATTCATCCCAAATTGTCGTCTCCTTTTGCCAAATCAAGTTTCTGTTCTTTATCGCGTTCTTTTCACAAAGGCGCTTCCAGTACCATCACTTGGTTGTTCAAGCGTCTATACACATTCCATAAATAGTGACACCCAAAACATCATTTAAGAGATTTCCTCAGTCCTGTCTGCATCCTTACAGGAACTGCTGAACAGCCTCATCTGGGTCGGACGTAACGACAAGAGTCCCGTTGGTTCACCTTGGTATATTTTGATCCGGGGGCGGAAAGTATTAGACTTCTCTTTAAGAAGGCACTGAAATTAAGCTGGTGATCTGGAGACACATCTGCTCTTGTGCCTCAGGACCCCGTGTCCCAGCAGGGGATCCTCTCTCACGATATGCTGACATTCCACGTGCTTGGATGAGTCAAGCTTCGCCATGCGAGCTCGAGCCGGCTTTGGGAGCAGCGGCGACGTCGCCCCTTGTCACCACACATCCTACTCCACCGGCTGCCACGGTGGGACACGTGTGTGTGCACGCTCTCCCTGTGGGTCCCACGGGGCCTCGGGTGGGAGGTCATCACAGGGACCCCTTAAAGAGGTCGTGTGCACACGTGCCCCGTGTCCTTGGGGCCCGGAGGCAGTGCTGGGGGAGCCGTGACAGGGGAGGTGGGTGGCCGGCAGGATGGGGGCCATGGGTCCCGGGTGAGCCAGGCCCTTGGGTCCCGGCCGTCTCCGGAAGGCGGTCGCCGGGCAGCGGTACGAAACCCCGTATAAACGGCAGAGGGCTCGCAGGCACAGGTGCGTCACCACCTAGATGTGCAACTCAGTAAGGGTCGGTATCTACGTCCTGTAAAAGTTTGTCTCTAATTCCCATTCGCTAAATTCTGCATGAACTGAGTTGAAGGCTGCACCGCGATGGCACCCACGTGGGGCGCTCTGATCATCAGAGCCGGCGTCTCGCCCGGAGACGCCCCCAGAGCCCCAGGCGCACAGCTAGGCTCTGGGGCCCAGAACACACGGACGGGGTGACAGCTGGCTCGCGCCGGGAGCGCTGCCCTCCTGCACTCCCTTTCAGCTGGACACTTGCTCTTCTGCCCCGACCCTGAGCGGGACGGGGGAGCGGGTGGCGCCTCACGGGGAGACCGCTCCGCCCGCCGCAAGCTCTCAAGTGGCTTCGCTCCCCACCCGCCCTGGGTACTGGGACCCGCAGGCCCGTGTCTGCCCCGCCACAGCCTAGGCGCATCTTCAACGCAGCCACAACGGGTGCAGACAGATCGGGCCCGGGGGCCTCTGCTCCCTGACGGCGGGCCGTGTCGCCTACAAAACGCGTCCCCGGAAAGCACACATCATGGTAAATTCTTTCCGGCAGGCCCCCACGCGCCGTGCCACCCAGAGAATATGTGGCAACGCAGACGGTGGCCCGCCACGTGTGGGGCCTTTGGTGGCCATCAGAGACTCGGGACTGACCCACTTGGCGGACACGGAAGCTGTGAACTGCACGTGCAGGCCTGGCGCCGGCCGCTCGGGCTCTGTCCCCTGACGGCACTGGCCCCTCGCTGAGGCGCTCGCAGTCCCCGTGGCAGACGCGATCGGGCCTCCTCGCCCCTCCTCCCGCCAGGTCAGTGACCCGGAGCCCGAGCAGGGGCGGACGCACGGCCTTCTGGGCCTGCTCTGTCTCCGTTTAGTGTGCTTTTGTTTTACCTGACGACTGGCCCATCAGATTTTGAGCTTCTTCGGAGGAGTGTAAAGGCAGCTTTTCTCCTGGAGAGCAAAGAAGAAACAGATTTAATGTTTTGCCCTCAAGGAGATAAGCAAGGTCTCTTCAACTAGGGAAGCTCAAAATCTGACTGGCGCATGCACGGCAGACCAGCATGTCCGTGTGTTGTCGCCCACTCGGCCACCGAGGCGATGCCCTGCCGTCATCCGGGAGGAACGCACGCCCAGCTGGCCAGACAGTGCGGGCTAAGGCCCACCCCCGCCCCTGTGCCCAGTAGGGTGCCGATGGTGACCGCGCCCCGGGCCGGGGGCTGGCTCATCTCAGTTTTCCCCGGGGCAGGGCCGGGTGCCGTCCCGGGCAGGTGTCACTCCTGGGATGTGCACCGGCCTCCTGCAGAAGGGCATCCGTCTGCTCGTCTGAGCTCTTGCTCCCGGAGAACAGACTTCGGGGCTGGCCAAGTGGGTGGTGCGTCCAGCAGGAGGGACCTCCAGGACGCCTGTGTGCAGTGGAGAGCAGGCATGGACCCGAGGGGGCAGACGGGACATCTCTTCCCAAGAAGGCCAGCCGTGAGGTGACTACCCTACCACAGGAGACACACGCAGACCTCCCCGCCCGGCCCTCTGCAACGTGCACACTGCTACGTGTCTACACTGTGCCCTTGGCATCCACAACTACAACTGTACCTGCTCTGCTCACCGCCCTGAATAAGACCGTTCAGAAAGAGAGTCCCCAGGTGAGAAGAGAGGAGGTCAGAAAGGGCAGCTGGGTACGTACCGGGGAAAGCGGGGTTGGTCTGTCCGAGGGGAGGAAAGGGGGTTTGCTGCATGGCCAGCTGGTGGAGCTTGGTCAACTGCTGGGGTAGGAGGGACACGAGAGCTAAGAAGATTATTGTCATCGAGCACAAGTCACACCAAATTAAAAAGGCAGTAACAGAACGTTGTACAAATAGATAGAGAGGGGCCATGCGGACACATGGCAGACGCAGAACTCAAGGACTTGGCCTGGGAAAACCAATGGGCCTCTGGGCGGCGCACCCGATTCCTTTCCTCTCCTCGACTCCCTGGCAGCTCACACAGGCCTGGCGGGCGGCGACCCCCAGCCCACAGCCAAGCGCCGGACGTCCAGCAGGATGTCCTTGGGCCTGCTCAGGCTCAGGGCCTGCACCGCACACTCTGGGCAACGCGCTCAGCTCCCAGCCTCCCCTGGACAGCAGGGCCCGCGCGAACGTGTCCCGGCCCCACTTCGGGCCGGCCCTGGACTCCGTTCTGGAGGCGAGGACAGGCCCTTCCCGGAGCCCCCGGAGGCCAGCAGGAGGGGGCCCTCGGGGAGGAGCCGGCGTCCCCAGTGCCACACAAGCGTGTCGGGGAGGCAGCAATGGTGCCCAAGGCGCAAACACCCGAGACACTCAAGAGCCTTCACAGACGGGCCTCACGGTGATAGAGGAGCGGGTCGCCGGCAGCTAAGACAAACACCACGGGCCCCTTCCCACTGTGGGGAGGGTCACGGTGTCCCTGACGGCCCGCCCTGGAGAGCCCCTGCCCTGTCTGCCGTGCCCCATGGCCGCAGTGGCGGGCACGGGGGCTCGCCGTGCGCGGGGCCGTGCGGTCCAGGCTCTTCCGGCCCCCACAGGATGACGTACCGCGTGGACCCCAGCTACAGCTGGGGGCCCAGCCGTGACCGACCCGTGGCCTCCTGGTCGTCCTTTTCAGGTGGACCCCTCGCCGTGTGAGCCCCTGGGATGTGAGGCAGGCTCCTGCAGTGGAGGTGGCCACACCCGGCCCATCTTTCCCGGCCGGCTCCTGTGACCTTGCCGTTAGAGCTTCTGTTCTCCTTCCCTTCCTGGAAAGGGGGAGTGCCTCGAAATGCAGCTTTCTGCCTGTCTTCTGGGGTGCTCCCTGACCTGTGGCGCTCGGGGTGGGCCCGCCCAGGGAGCACTGGCCACACCTCACTCAGTGGGGCCGCTCTGGGTGCAGGTATCATGCCCAGGGGTCCTGAGAAATAGGTCAGGGGATGTGGTGACCTGGGGCAGATTCAGCTCTAAGAGTCCCTGACGAGGTGGTGCGGGTCAACGTTGTCCCTGGGACTGGGGGCTGACCCCGCCCCCCGCCCAAGCCGTGACGTCGCTGAGCCTGACGTGACCTGAGCAGCTCTGCACCGAAGCCCCCCGAGGAAGGTGTTGGAAGAACACACCCCGGAAATACCATCACGGGACACCGCCGGAGTCACAAGGGACGAGAGGTGATGCATGGCCTGCACCGGCTGTGCCCGAGGCACAGGCAGGATGACCCTGCGGGGAAGGTGCCTGCAGAACACATTGCAAGTAGCCTAGCGAAGCCTCCTCTTTCAGGGACGAGTAAGAAAGACAGCAAGTACCTGCAGGCTGAGGAGGGGGTGACACCGTCCGTCCGTGGCTGAGGCACCGCCCAGCGGCCGGACCGCAGACCGGTCCCATGAATCTGCCTCTAGCCGATGGGACCGGGAGCCGTGGGGCCGTGGGCCCTGCGTGCAGCAAGCATGGGCCACCGAGGACACCCAGCAGGGGTGTGAACCCACCTCAAGGGGGAGTTGGAAACAGGGCTAAGGTTTCTCCACCAGGCAGTTAACTACGAGTTCCCAGGATGGAGGAGGGAACCACTTCCGGAGACGGCAAGCGGGAAGCTGGAGCACAGGCCGTGCACGTGGGGACACGGCGCACAGTGCGCTGACCACCGCTCGGATTTCGATGCAGATGCGGTGCTCACATAGGAGGGCGGCCTGCCGTGTGACCGGACCCCTGGGGGCTTCAGCCCTTGGCCCAGGGGCGGACCTGGTGCGACGAGGTCTGCTAGCACCTGCTGGGCTTGGGGAGCCCTGGCCGGGCTGCTCTGTGCTCCGCCCACAGCAGGGCCCTCTCCTATCTGTCCCGAGCCCCCGAGAGCACACAGCTGTGTGCCGGTCAGGACGGCAGTGGAGAGCGGGGCCCTGGAGGCGGAACCAGCCTGGGTTAGCCCCAGCAACGCCCAGCTCTGCGGAGTGGGCTCGGCGGGTCCCGATGTGCAGGATGGGGGAAGCGCCATCCCCAACGACCTGTGGCTTCCCTACCCGCCCGTCCACAGCTCTGTCACCCTGGCTGCTCCTCTGGTCTCTCCACGCTGGCCCCCCCCCCCCCCCCCCGGCAGGGAGGCAGATGGGGTGCACCAGGCGGGTGTGCTCCAGAGCCCGGCCGCCCGTGTTCTGGGCACAGCCTGGGCACGACCAGATGAATACTCCCCGAGGCCAGCCACGCCGATGCCGGAGAACGGCCGCCCCCAGGGGCTTCAGATGTCCCAGCCCTAATGTCTCTGGCTGCCACGCACGGGCTGCTTTTTATGGAGAAATGGCCACACCAACAGATGAGTCCCCTCCACCCACGCACATGAATGTAAAGTGATGTCCCGGGGAGCCTGGACGGGCACATGGCAGTGCCTGGATAAACACTGGTACAGGGAGCGGGTGGGCAGAGAGGTGGACGGATGGCAGATGCCAGCTGGCCTCCCTCTGGTCTTGGCTCTGCCTTTAATCAGTCAAGCACTTCATCTCCTCGGAATACAATTTCTACACTTTCTAAGGCAAGAGCAGGAAAAGGGCTAGGGGGATTCCTGCTTTTTGAAGTATTTCTGCCATCAAAAAATAATCACTTTCAGTATTCACAAGGGCCTCCACGGGGCTGGGAGGGAAGAGGGGAGAAGGAAAGGGAGGGGGAGGGGGGCCAGGGTGTCGTGAAATGGACAGCTCTCTGTCCCTTGCCTTTTCCAATGGATACTGGTTGGAACAGAGAAACAGACAAATACTAAATGCAGACAAAGGCTGAAACCCTAAGTATCCATGAGACCACAACTCAGTGAGTTACCTCGAGTCGAATGCACCATGCAGCTACGTCACTTCTCGGAACAGCCTGCCATGGGGGCCTAGGCGGTGGTCACGTTTCCTCCTGTGAAATTGTGCGTCTTTTGCTCATTTTTCTACTGCGTTGATTTTTGCTGATTCACAAAAACTCCTTTTGTATTTCAGACACTAATCCTATTTCAGCTGTTATGCTGAAAAGATCATTTCCCCCACTCCCCTTTGGTGTCTTTAGGGAAACAGAATTTAAAAATTTTAACGTAGTGAAACTCATTAATATTTTCTTCATGGTTTGCTTTATGTTTTGCTTAAGACCGCTTTTCCTGACCTGAAAAAGAAAGGCATTCTCCTATATTTTCTTCTAAAGGTGACGTTCTTGACACATAAGTAGTGTTTAAATTATTTTTCCCATGTGGATGACCCACTGTCCTGATATAGCCTGCTGGTCCAGTGTCTGTCCCTGTGCCCAAACCACTCTGTCTCCAGTCATTCGGCCTTACAGCAAGTCTCCGTATCTTCCGGGACTGCTCTCCCTAGCATACAGTCTCTTCATTAATATCTTGATGTTTCTTGGTCTTTGCTCTTGAACACAAATTTTAAAACAGCATCTTAAGTCCCTGTCAGGATTCTGATTGGAATTGTACTGCATTTGTACCTCGATTTGGGAAGAATTGACACTTTATTTTATTCAAAAAAATTTTTTTTAAAGTAGGCCTCATGCCCAGCATGAAGCTGCAGTGAGGGTCTTGAACTCCCGACCCCGAGATCAAGACCTGAGCTGAGATCAAGAGTCAGACACTCAACTGACTGAGCCACCCAGGTGCCCCGAGAATTGACATTTAAAGATACTTCACGTTCCTACCCGTGAACTTGGTATGCTTCTCCATTTATTTTGGCCTTTTGGTCTTCTTTAACTTTCAGTAAATACAAGGTTTTTTTTCAAAGGTCATCTTTTAATTATTGATTTCAACTTAATTGCTTTGTGGTAAGAGAATAGAGCCTACAGGATTCCAATTTTTTATAGAGGGTGGGGTTGTTTTTTTTTAATGGCATAATATGTGATCAAGTCTTACTAAGTTTCCATGACTTCCATGGCTGTTTAGGATTGTATAGAGTTCAATCTATGTCTCACCAGGCTCACCGACTGCACCATCAATGCCTTCTGTATTCTTTATTGAAAGAGAGTTAGGTGAAGGCTCTACCTACAATGTCTGTCAAATTCCCTTTATGGTTTGTTAATTTTTTCTTTACATGTATTTGAAGATATGGTTAAGGTGTGTACAAATTATGAATTTATATCTTCTGGTGAACATGTAAGTGACTAAATATCAACTAAAGTTGACTTCTTTATCAACGTCTAAGTGACTAAATATAGCATTTGCCTTGACTCCCGCCCCCCCTGCCCCTGACATTAATGTTGACATACAAGGTTTCTTTCAGTCAGTATTTTCTTAGAATAGCTTTTTCTCTTCTTTCAATATTTCTGGGTCCTTATTCTTTAGGTGTGTCTCCAGGGGAAGAAAACGCTATGTTTTTGGGGTTTTTTCCTGTTTTGTTAGCTTGTCTATTTGTTTTTTGTTCTGTTTTGCTTTTTAAGTCCGAGAACCTTATTTTTTGACTGGAACACTTTTACTTTGATCACAATTACACGTACGTATAATTTCTGCCGTTTTATTTTGCACTTGTAATTGCCCTGATCTTCTCAGGCTTCTTTCCTGTTTTTCATCCTTTTCTCCTTTTGTACTGGTTAACTTCTGCCATGCATTCTCCCTCTATACCTTTACAGAAGTTACAGAATTAAACTCTTTTCTGTCAGTGGTCACTTTCACATTTTAATACATACGTTTAAAGTCTAAACTCTTTGCCTCTTCTGGGATGACACGGTAAGCTACAGAAACTTCTCATTCCCCCGGGGTCCATCTGAATCGTAGGTCTGTTTTTGTCTACTTGTTCTGTTTTGTTAATCCCACAAATTAGACAATTTTGATGTTGACTTTACAGACAATTTTTGCTTTCCTTTGCCCAAATGTATACATTTTTGTGTAGTTTAAAATCATTGGTATTTCACTGGCCCGTGCTTATGTTAATGAAATAAGCCCGGTTCCTACATCTCTGGCCTCGCCTCCACAATCTCTGTCCTTCTCCGGAAGGCATCCATCACAAGCCTGTTGGTCACAGCTATTTGTCCGAAAATGCTTGGATTTGGGTCCTTGGAAGGTCCTCTTAAGATAGAAACTTGGGTTGACAATTACTTTTTCTTATCACACCACCACCTTCTGGCCTCCAGAGTTGCTGACGAGACGTCCCCTCCTTCCTCTCTCGCTCTCTGTGACATTCCTGTTCTGACTACTTTGGAGATTCACTTTTGGTCTTGATGTCATGCAATTTTACTCTGACAGATCCGAGATGGATTTCTTTTTATTTACGTTGTTTGGGATTTGTTGGGATTCCTGAACGTGAGGACTGGTTTCTTTTGTTAATTCTGGCAAATTCTCAGTGCTCATCTCATAGAATCGTCATCACCCTGTGTGATGGAAATGCAGATTCGGCCTCTGAGGGGGCAGGGAGGCAGAGAAGATCTCCGGCAAGCCGGCCTAGGGGCAGGGATAGGAGGTGCCCTGGCAGTGGGTGGGGCGCGGGCACCTCCCCACCAGCCTGAGCTGCAGGGTCCTGGGAGGAGCAGGACGGACGTGAGGCCCAGAAGCCGGCTGGCGTCGGAGTGCTGGCCAGTCTCCACTGTGCCCAGTACAAGGTGCCACCGCACGGCGGTCACCGGGGGAGTCCCCGCACCCACAACAAATTGTGAGTGGACAGCAGGACCTGACGTGCACCCTCCCGCTGACGCCTCCTCCCTCTGTTATGACTCCGTGTCACTGTCTCCTAAAGAACACGCTTCCTGTGACCCCCGGTTACTGGGCGCCGCTGCTGGAAGCCATGGCTCTTTATTCTGTCGACGAGCTTTCCAAACGACCACTTCCTCGTGCTTGAGACCGGGTGGCCGTCCTGAGAGCCGCCCTGCAGTCGGAGCCAGGTGCAGGCGAGCAGGCAGAGGTGGCGAACCCTTTGTTGTCACTTGGAACGCCTGGCTTACTTTCTGCTTGCTTTTGGCCCCTTGAACGAGGGGCACGTCACGTGAGGGAGTCACTCGGAAAGTCTGAAGACCAGCAGAGAGGAGTCACACGCAGGGGTTGGCCTGCCGCTGGCTGATCACACCGCGGAAGTGAAGAGACACAGGTTACTGGGTGGGCGGGAGGACTGGGTGGCTCCCACGTCTGAGTCCCTGCTGCCCCCCAACCCCCATGTCTGAAGCCACGTGGCCCCGCGGAGGCTCTGTGGAGGTGAGGGGAGCCGCCCCCAGAGTTCTGGAGGTGAGCCTGGGGCCGGGGACATCCTCCCATACCCGGTGCCCGGTGCCTCTCCTGGGCGAGTCCGGGGGGATTCGGGCAAAACAGGCGAGTGGCAGGTGCCACCGCAAAACTGGCAAGGTGGGTCCTGGCGATTCTCCAGGGAGGGCAAAGCAGGGGATGTAAGAAGTACGTACAGTTTAGTTCTAGATGAAGAAACACTCAGCTCTAAGAAACAGGTTTCCTTACAGTCTGGGCCTGATTCAGATAAGTTACCAGGCTGTTAAAATGTGTGTGTGTCAGCCACCGTGGCTCAAACATTCAACCTGTGCACTCAGTTATATTTTAAAATAAAGTAGGATTTCCCATCACTATTGTATTTGGGTTCTAAGAAACGAGGCCTTTAAAGTCCCTACTGAATACTAAGCTTAGTTAAAAGTTCCCTTTCCTGGCCACCATCACCCATGTCCCCAGGCGGCTGGTTTATTTTTGTTTCGGATGGAGCATCAACATGATCGTCTGGCGTTCAGTGTCACCAGCGCGCAAAGCGCACTTCTCAGAGCTCTCGCTACAGAGTCCTGGCAGCCGTGCGTCCCCCACCCTGTCCGGTCTACACAGGGGAGGGTCCCGCACAGAGCGCCAGCTCATGAGACGTACCAAAGGCAATGAAGCAATTACGCAACCCTGAGTTATAAGTCAGCTTAAACAATCTGACAAAAATGCCTGCGAAACTACCCGCTTTCAAGAGATAGTGAGAAAATCACATGGAGGGACATAACGACGAGTTGATACAAAAATCAATCAGCCAAACAGAAGTTCCTCAGCCTGAGACAGGTGTGCGCCCACGACTGTGGGAACCTGAGGCCAGAAACTCTTCTCCGTGAGCTCAGAGGCCATGCCTAGGGCTGCAGGAAATCTCAGGCCTCAGAGCTGTTCTCTGGGGTCGACCGCCCTTCGTGAGGGGCTAGACCACTGTTTCCTGAGCTCCTGAGTTTGAGAAAAGCCCACGAGCCGGGTTTCCCAGTCTGCTCTTGCACACGCACCCGCACTTCTAGAGGAGCAAGACCAGCGGCCCCCCGTTAAATGAAGATTGTGCCACCCAAGGAATTAGGCCCGTGACCCACTTGGCCTCTGTTCTGATTTGCCACCACCCCACTCGGGGCCCTCTGAGAGGAGCGGTGGAGCCCACCCCCTCGTGTGCCTACGCTCCGTGCGCACTCCTGCGCTGGGGACGGGCCAGCCCTTCTCCCAGGCTCTAACATCTGCACCCCCGTCACAGTTGGCAGTCGGCTGAGACGATGAGGGACAGGGCGTCACCCGCCTGGAACCGGAAAGGCCTCTGAGCCACGGGGCCTGCCCCTGCCTGTCTCGGGGGCTCCTACGAACCGACCTCCAGCGCTCTGTCATTTTCGTGGGCACTGCTGGCAACCTCCTTGGGGTAAAAGACGTTTAACTTTTAAAGCTGCCGGTGGTTCTTTCGAGAAGGCTGAGTAGGTTCACACCTTCACCACCTCCCCCACTCCTGGGATCTCTAAGCAACTCACAGGAGAATGAAGAGCATCCCCGATAACACGGAACGGGGTGTGGAGGTCACTAGCGGAGGCCAGGCTTTGACACATATCCTCAAAGGGGAGATGGAGGTGGCCATGGCCCTGAGGGGTCTGTGGGCTCCAGCGGGCAGGCGGGGCACGGGAGTGATCTGCCTGCACATCTCACTGACGTCCTGCGCGCCCAGCTGGACCGTGTAGGGGTTGGCAGGAGACTCTAGCACCCATCAACCTGGCAGCGCCTCCCACGTGAGGCCCGGGTCCCAGAGAACATGCAGGAAAACGCTTTCTTGGAGAGGCCGCGAAGCTCGGCAGGTCTCGAAATGGTTTAGAGAAGAAAACGGCTTCTCAAAACCAGCTTCAGGTTGGCTGCCGCTGCAGAAAGCAGCACGGAGGCCGAGCACACCTCCACCTTCTTCCCCTGGCCCGGTCCCCCCGCCTTCCTGCCCCAACCCTCCCTTCCGGATCAACTAGTGAGGACCTCCTTGCCCGAGCGTCCGGATCCCTGTGGAGAGACGGCCTTGGGTCACAGCTGCTGCCCTGTTCCTGCTGCACACTGGCCCCTCAGCCCCCGGGCCACTGACAGTGCGTCTTTGGATGTGCCCGTTCTCCACTCGGATACCACGCTCAGACTGGAACACACGCAGGGACGTCTGAGCGGGCCCCGATGGCGGAGCAAGGGGCTTCAGCCCTAGAAAGAAAACCAAGGCCACGTCTGTTGGCTTTTGTACTCAGGGTGTAGGGGCTGCTGTTTCAACTCGGGCCCCACAGGGGACAGTGTGGCTTTACCGGACGTTCAAACATCCTTCCCAGCATCTCTTGGAGCACCTGTCTGATAGCACGTCACCTAACTCCTCAGGTGGCTGCAGGGCACCCGATGGGGCAGGTGCCACGGCAGAGCAGCCTTGCGGCCACCGCCTAAGGCCCTGTGTGCAGAGGAAAGCCCCAGAGCGCAGCAACAACCAGAACAATTTGACATCAGGCCAAGTCCTCCACACAAGTAGAATTAGTGCTAAGAGGTTAAAGGTTATTCAAGGTCATGTGGATACGACAGAGGTCGGGAACATTGAGAGAACGGTATTAATATTATTGCGTAATATTAATATTAGTAGCAAGTACAGCAGCATGCAGGTGGGTAACGGTAATGAGAAGAGAAGGCCAGGGAGGCAGAGTGGAGACTCACATCTGGGTGGGGGATGGCGTACTGTCCCTGGATCGTGTAGGCCTAGAAAGAGAGAGACACGGTCAGCTCGCGAAGCGGCGGCCACGCTTGTGCCCGCCGGCGGCCCTCCCCGGGGGACACGGGCTTTCTCAGGGGTGGGGCTTCGTGGGAACGGGCCCGAGGCCCTCTGGAGAGAGCGCATCCCCCCCTTCCGCCGCCAGCTTAGGACAAAAGGCGAGTCCTTCAGGGCGCGGGGAGGTGCAGACTGGGGGTGTCGCGGGGCCAAGCCTCACCGGCGCGACAGCGGGACACGTGGGCCAGGCGAGCCGCGCCCCACCTCCTGGAGAGCCGCAGGAGTGCAGACTGGTGGGGCCGGCAGGGAGGGCGGGAAGGGGCGCAGCTGGGAAGGCTCCCCACTCCCCCGGAGGGGGTTCTTAATAGAAACCCCCCGCAAGTGATCTGACTGTTACAGATTCATTATTAGCCTTTGGCAATTTTCATCAGCTTTCAGAGTGAACACTTTTGCAAAGTACTTGTCCCAAGAAAACCAAACCAAAGGACCTTTAAAAGGTGACTCAAAACCAATTTTGCAAAAGCAGATTAAGTAAGAAACGTGCCCAAATCAGTCACAAGATGGATGGTCTTGACCTGCAGCCTCAGCGGGCCGAACACTTGTTCTCCGGGACCAGCGTGGTCCCTGAGGCTTCACCTTCAAGACGGTGACTCGGGGTGGCCACAGCGGGCTTGGGCCTGGCGCCTCTCCCCCCTGCCCGCCCCCACCCACCTCAACAGTCCACCGGCTGAGACGCTCCCAGAAACTCACGGCCAAAAACAAACGATCCACAAGGTGTCAAGGGAGAGCAAAGACCAAGGACTTGCTGTCAGGCCTCATGTGCTGTGATGTGGGACGTGCCACACCAGCTCTGGGCAGCCGCGGTCGAGGCCCCGGGCACGGGTGGCACAGGTGGGGAGGGACGTGCCTTCCGGCACCTGGCCACGTGGGGTGCCCGTGCCACATCGCAAGCGGGCACGCGATGCCCACCTGTGTCTGCACACGTGCACCGAGAGGGAGACCACAGGCCAGTCCAAGCGTCCCTTCTGTGGACTTTGCACCGAGGGTGGCGTCTGACGGTTTTCCTCATAAACAACCCAAGCGGGGAGGTAAAGGCCACCAGGCACCGGGCGGGGCCCACTGGAGGCGGGGGCCATCCAGGCGTCCCACGGGGAAGTAAAGGAATCTTATCAGACGCTGCAAGTGTCCGAGGGGAAGGCAGTGGGGCCGCCCTTCCCCCTCTGGACTTCTGTGCACAAGCTCCGTGGCTTGTCTTTAGGTTTCATGGAGGTGCCAGCAGGCACACGCTCCGGCGCGTCACCACGCGTCACAGGCCTGGGACGCACACCGTCCTACGGCCCCGGTCGCCCCAGTGGAACTGCACACACCTCCGGACAGGGCAGTTCTTTAACCCACACGTTTTTACTCACTTAGGTGGTCGCGTTCTCGGTTTTATTTGAACTGTGGGAGCAGTTTACCATGGACAGAGGGAAGGTACAGCTGGGAAGACAGACAAAGGTTCTCCGGACGAAACCTTCGTCATCTGCGACCTGCTTGAAACACTGGGCTGGCTGGGCTGGGGCGCCTGGTGGCTCAGTCAGTTAAGTGTCTGACTTCGGCTCAGGTCGTGATCTCACAGTTTGTGAGCTTGAGCCCTGCATTGGGGTCCCTGCTGTCAGCACGGAGCCGAAGTCAGATCCTCTGTCTCCCTCTCCCTCTCTCTCTCTGGCCTTCCCCCGCTTGCTCTCTCTCAAAAATACAGAAACATTAAAAACATTTTTTGAAATGCAGGCTGGCGCTCCCTGGTGGGGTACCTGCTGGCCCTCGGGTACCAGTGCTCGGTGAGAGCCAGTGCAGGTGGGAGATCCACAGTGAGGGGTGTCTCCAGAGGGGAGTCAGGCCTAGGTCCTGCGGCAGGTGGGGTCTGGGTTCTGAAGGGCCCCCTTGCTGCTAAATCTCATTCACACCCCATTTCTGTTTGTGCTGTGGCTCATCGGTCTCCACACAACCACGAAGAGCCACTGGCCAGACCTGTCTTGGGGGGCACAGGTGCCTGTAGCCTGGGGACAGCCTCGGGACAAGCGCCCACGATGCTGGTGACCTCGCTGCCCTAAGAGGAGATGACCGGGACGGCCTTCCTTGGCTGGGGCTACGCTGGCCTTGGCCCACACGGCTTCCCCGGCTCTCCTGGGTGTTACTGTGCTTCCCTTTTGAAGACAGACCGCACTTTACCACATGGTGGCATCGTGGGTCTGTTCACATGTCAGGGTCAAGGCCACACATGTATCTAACCTGCTAGCTTACTAGGACTTCAGGGCAAAGGACATCGTGTTCTGAACAAGGCCCCCTGTGTCTGTGTGCCCCCGTGACTACCTCTGGCCTTGCTTTCTGACCTGTAAAATGGGGGCGAGCCCAGGTCCCGGGGCTGCAGTGGGAGGGTGCAGGGATGTGAAGGCTCCAGACAAAAGGCAGGGCCACTGGGTGACTTGAGGGCTGTGGTAGCTGGGAGAAGGGCCCGCAGTGGCCGCGTGCAGAAGCCAGGCACAGTGGACAGTGGCCTTCCCTGAACCACACAGCCCTGTGGGAGCCACTGGGTCTCTCCCGGTGGGAAGCAGCCCACATGCTGCTCTTGGAAACACCTAACGTGGGAGTCAATCTGGAGGATCTGATAAGATTCCTTTAAAATGTGGAGAAAATTTTCATTTGCCCCTTTGTTAACGACAAAGTCATGGCCATTCTCCCCTGACCTGGGTTGCCTCTGGGAATGCTCAGTCTTCACTCTCCCTTGAACAAAGACACACGTCACCGCCAACTGGACGCAGAGCTCCTCCAGGCACTCTGGCCGGGCACCTCCCAAGGTCCTCTACCTATGGTCGTGACCCCGAGGTGGGTGGCACAGGTGCCCGATGGCAGGAGGCGGGCACAGCCCCTCTCCTCAGCTCTCTCTGGGCCCTGCTGATGAGCTGCTGGCCTCAGATGTTAACCTCTGCAGCTGCTGGCCTCCCGGGCCCCTTGCCGAAGGGGGAGGAAGGAGGTCGGCGGCTCCTGCCCCAGCAACAGATGTGCAGAGCAGGTGTCCCGGCCCGGCCGGTGCGGGGCGGGGCGGAGTGCGAGGGCCATCGCTGTGAGCCGGAAGTCACCTTTCCCTTCCCCTGCGTGCTCCTAGAGACTCCTCTGTGGGGGGTTGGGGGTGTGCATTTTGGGGGAGACGGGACCCTGTTCCCACAGCTCCAGTTGTCTCAACCTCGAGCCACAGGGTCACTGTAACGCTTCCGGCCCTTCCGCTAAGCCCCTTAGACACTCGACGAAGTAGATTTGGGCCAATGTTGCCTAGGCAGGACCAGGGTCCTTCTGTGCCGGGCCAGGGAGAAGACGCTTCCGGGGTCCAGGCTCTGCGGGACGTCTGCCTTGGCCTTTTCTGTCTGCCCCACACTGCCCAGCTCGCCCCGTGCCCGGCGGCAGGCCGGGAGAGCTCTGCGCCCAGCGTGGGTGGGGTGGGAGACGTGCACGTGAGAAGGGAGAAAACCTGAGTGCACTAACGGGCAGCGGCGGGGGCTGCAGTAAAAGGCTGAGGTTGGCAGTGGAGGCCGCGAGCGGGTCGGCTCTTACCTGACCACCTGCAAAAATGACAGGGGTGGAGGCGGGCTTTGGGCGGTAGGGAATGGTGGCACCTTTCGGTGGGGACTAGGAAAAGGGACAGGAGAGGGAGAGAGAGCATTAGAGCAGCTTCGCGTCAGGATCTGATCACGGGGAGGCCTCCTTCCCGAGCCCACCCCGCTGCACCGCCCGCCCTCCCCGGCAGTGCCAGAGGGTAGGGGATACCCCGCGGCGGGAGGGCTGCCTGATGGGGACCCTCCGGAGGGCCCCCTCTTCCACATAACTACTGCCCTAAATACACCCCAGCACGGGCGCCATCCGCCCGCAGGGTGTGGTGGGCTCCACGGCGGTGTGGGATGCTACTCCCTGACAAGTAAGAATGGAAACCAAGCCCCAGTCTGCCCTGGGGGCCCCCACAGCCTGCACAGATGGCCAGGTGGCTGCCTGTGGGCCACTTGTGTCAGCCTGGGTGTTGTCCTCTGGGAAAATCTGTCCCTCTCTCTCATGCTCAGGATGAAGCTGGCCTTTGTGGGCAGCTCCGCCATGGGGGGGGTCCTGCTCAGAGCCCCAAAGGCTTTGCTTGGCCAGGGTCATGATGCTCAGTAGGCATCATCACGGGACAGTCAGAAACATCCAATTTCACTATTAACAAAAGGGAGCAACTTTAAAAAAAAAAAACTTAGAGTCCAAATGAAGTATGTTACAGTCTTGATGAGCTTTGCTAGAATTTCCTTTGATTATTCTGTGTCCAAAAGTACAGGCTTTTTACCTTGGGGTGGATGACATTCTCAAGTACCAGAAGTCTGCCAGTTGGGTTGATAAATTCAACCCAATTCCTTGGTCAGAGGCAACCAAGGTCCTCCCTTGTCTGGCCAGGTGGCCGTCTTCCCTGGGAGCAGAGGCCACAGGGCCCAGGTCAGGTCAGCAACACCGCTTGCCAGAGGCAGAGGGTGGGGGCCAGGGCAGTGTCCCTGCTGGGAGTTCTCGAGACCAGGGCCCACTCAGGCCCAGCCCACACCCTGGGCTACCGGGTGTGACCTCACAGTGCCCCGACCTGAGACACAAAGTCATGTGGGCACAGGCTTAGTAGAGGGGATGACAGCTTCAACTCTGTAGTCCAAGCCACGCTGTGTGACCGTGGGCACACTGTGTGACCTTGAGCACAAGGTTTGACCTTGACATGATGCTCTGTACCCTTGGCCACTCTGTATGACCTTGGGAAATCTGTATGGCCTTGGCCGAGCTGTGTGACCTCGGGAACACCGCAGCCTCGCTGTAAATAAAGCAGGAAGGGCTGCTGTGGGGCCTGTGAGCTGACTCATGTCTGGGGTGATGATGGGCTCCTGGGGTCGGCCAGTCTTCAGTGTTTCTGCAGGTATGACCGAACGCCTCCAGAAACGTCTCTGTGCAGCTGGGATTCACTGCAGCCTCAGGTAAGACTCGCTTCATCGCGGCAGAATCATGATTAAATGGAGCTCGAGGGAGTGGCGTTCTCACGGTGCCAGCAGAGACCTCTGTCTGGCCGTGCCCTGTCCCTGAGCTGGGCACCCCACCAACGGCAGCGCCCGCCATCCCAACACTGTGAGCTTGTGGTTCCCGGGCATGCCGATGTCCTCGGATAGGACAGAGGGCTTCTGAGCACAGCCCTTGGGGCTCCCCCGGGGTGCGGCAGGCACTGACGGGTGGGCTTTGCGGCGACCCCTGTGCTTTCCACAGGGCCCCGCTGACTCACCCGCACCAGAGGGCAGGCCTCTCAGTGGCCACTTGAAGGGTGCGGGGCCCCCCGAACAGAGTCTGAAAGTCCGCTAACCTTTGCTCTGTTCGTCCAGCTCATTTTCACTTAAAAATGGGCCCAACTTCCCTAAGCACGGCGGTTCCCCCGACCCCTGAGAGCTCCGGGCCGGTAAGGGCGAGGCCCCACCTCAGCGCATTTGCGGGTCACGTTTGCCACGTGCGCTTCCTGGTCGAGTCTCACGTCGGCCCCGGCCCCCCCCCCCCCGGGAAGACCGGGCGGTTCTAACCACAGCCCTGGGGTGTCAGCACCCGCAGCCAAAGGGGTCTAGCCTGCTTCTGCAGGGCTGCACCTGACCGTGAACACGGTGTGGGCCATGCCACCTGGGAGGAGTCCTGAGGAGGCCGAGAGTTTTAGTCCAATCCTTGTTATTGAACGTGGGAGGCCATGTCCCTCCCGGAGCCGTTCGTGTGGCTCAGCACTCGGACTTAGCACTCTGACCGACTCAGAACTCTGACGGGCCACCGCAGCTCAAGACGCGCGTGCTTCCTCGCCGCCTCGGGCATCCGCCGGTGCAGGCAGCACCCGGCCCGCTCCGTCTGTCCACGTGGCGCCTCCCGGGTCCCAGCAGCAGGGGATGGAAGGGAACCCAGAACGGCACCGACTGTCACCATGGCCAGTGGCTGGGGACCGTCAGGACACCAATATTTAGAAAAATATTTTCAACTTCACAAAATATCGTACTTCAGGAAAATAGAAACCATGCAAATTTTTTAGAGACTTGGGGGTGGATCCGAACGCCGAGCCGAGGACAAGAGGGGCGAGGGCACAGAGGCTGGGAGTCCACTGCTGTGGGCGCCTGGTGTTCGCCCTCCCTCATGGCCCTCGAGCCCGCAACGCCTGTCGGGGGCTGTCGCGTGACGCAGACACACTTCACTTCAGCTTCGAGACCAGCAACTGCTGGCGGCCTCAGGGAGCCCTGCTGCATTTGGGGCAGAGGTTGACATTTAAATCTCAGGGGTTTCTCCCCCAAATGTCGAGAGGATTTTGTCTCGCTCAGCTGTCTTCTTTGCTTCTCCTTTGGTTTTAACCATTTTGTTTACTTCCTGTCTGTCTCTTACAACTGGGCGTTTCAGCGTGCTTTTCCTCCTCTGTGCCTTGGTGGGACCCTGACGCCTGCGGGTGTGATGAGCACGGGCCTCCCCCTCGTCCGTGGGCCGTGCTTACGGCCGCCCTTGTACTGGATGCCCCTCACGCCACAGACCGACGACCGGTGATGCAAGCGTCTCCTCACACGTCCCTTTCCCCGGCTCCCCAGCCACGAGGAGGGACATGCCAAAGGGGGCGGGCGGCGGGCGGCCGGCAGCTGTCCCTCCCCCGGCACCCGCACCCCCAGCACGGCTCTCACTCCGGTCACGCTCCCGACCCCCGGCCCCCGGCCCCTGCACGGCCCCAGCCACGTGCCGCAGCCGACACGAAGAAGCCACGGCAGGTGTGGCTCGCGGGGCAGGCTGGCGGTGGTCCCTGGATGCCCAGACTGTACCTCCAGCATGACCACACAGATCTGCTTGACGCACTGGATGATGGCGTCGGGGGTCCCCGAGATGGTCACTGCCCGCTCCGTGGAGTTGGGCAGCATGTCCCCGGCCACCTGGACCTGGGCACCTGTGGACTGCAGAAATGAGACATTGGAGGGGACACGGCCTGAGCCAGGGCAGCACTCCTGGGAGCTCGAGAGGGCGTGCTGAGGGTGCGGTGCACGGACACCCCCCCCCAACGGTGCCCCTTCATGCCCGCCTGGCACCCCAGCCCTCTGCCCATTCCCTGGGCGCCCATGGGGCGGGGCCGGTCGCCTTCAGCCCACCACTGCCCAGCGTGGCCTGGCACAGGGACAGCGACGCTGGACAAGAGGCATTTTAACCTGCAAGTGGCATTTGTAGAGACGGAGACAGAAATGGAGTCCCTTTTTTTAAATACATGGAATTTTATCTCCCCTGCGGAGTTTCAGGTCACAGAGAATGACGGACACTAGGAAAGCCTAAACTCTTTAGCTCTCTCTCCTTGACGGAATCACGACAGGGTGGCCACCCTCCTTAAGGGAGACGGAAGGAGTTAGGCTTTCTCTGAACACGGCAACATGTGAGCATAAAGTCCACCCCTCACACCGGCTCCCTCCCTGCTGGGACAGCTCAGGCCGGCCAGTCCCTGGACGCACCTGCCTGGGGGCAGAGACCACGGCCTCTGTGGCCTAGAGCCGCATGACCGGGTGGCAGGAGGGCCCTGCCTGTCCCCGGTTGGGGTGCACAGCCCCCCTCACAGGCGCCCAGCGCCTCTGCGCGACACCTTTGTGCACGTTCTAGGGGGTCCCACGTCCCACCCTCTGCTCTTTGGATGGCCCTCCCCTACCGTAAGCTCCATGCTGGCAGGGTTCGCAGTGCTGGGCCTCCAGGGGAGGGGGGGTGGGCTCTACCCTCCCAGCAGCGGGCACCAGCAGCCGGAGAAGGTTCTGTTACCTCCCTGATCTCCTTGATCTTGGAGCCACCTTTGCCGATCAGGGACCCACACTGGCTGGCGGGGACCACCAGCCTCAGCGTCACCGGGGGCTTGCTGGTGGCAGGGCTGTTGCTCATAGAGTTAATGATATCCTGGGGAGGGAGAAAGACACGTGTGGGCCTACACAGCATGCCGCATACACGCCAGTGAGTGCAAAGGCCAGGCTCGGTGAGAAAGCACCTGAATGTGCTCCAGAGGCTGGCGGGGCAGGGTTCCTGCCCCCAGGGGCACTGGGGCGGCGGGGGCAGCGAGAGGACAAGTGTGGGGACTCAAGTGTCCCCAGACGGAGGCGCCTGGCACACACACTGTGGCAAACGGCTGAGCGTCCAGAGGAAGGACACAGTGGACGGACTGGTGGACCGCAGAGGCTTGAAGGCCAGTCAGGCTCAGGAGGACAAGCAAGGAGAGGACAGCTGGGTCTGCAGAAGGGGACCCACACGTGCCAATCACTCGCAGACACGCAGGTCGTGGCTGCCGTGGCGCTGCCGTGGACGGGGCGCGACGCAGATCCAGGTGACACCCGGACTCAGGCCCTGCTTTGTCCTCAAGGCTGGGCAGGGCACGAAGGGCCTTGGACAGGCAGGGAGGCGCATTTTGGACAGAAAAACTTAACTCCCTGGCTTGAACACCTTCTGAATAAAAATACCGAATGCATCTCTGAATAACTTTTGGCAAGTTGAACAATATTGGAAACACATGAAAACCTTGATCGAACTCACTGACAGGGCGCATAGACGTGCCACAGACACGCAAGTGTATGCGTGTTTATACGCGTCCACGGGAGAGTCCACGGGTCCCCATGGCCAAGCGCACACGCCAGGGCAGCAGCCGCAGGGCACGGCTGGGGCTCTCGCTCAGGGCCGGGCTCACGGACACGGAGCGTGACGGCTGGCCTGTCACCAGGTGGCCTGCGGCCACGGGAGCCCCCGGGCGGTGAGGAGGTGACGGGGCGAAGGGTTGTGCCTTGCCCCCCGCCGCGGGGTCTCTAGGGACACATCTCACCTCCTCAAACTTGTAGGCGATCATGGCAAAGGCCTTGAAGATGGCGTCGGTGGGGCCTGTGATGGTCACAATTCTTTCCGGGCAGTTTCCCTCAGAGATGTTGATCCTCGCGCCACTCTGGAAGGAGGTGAGCACAGCCCGGACGGGGTTAGAGCCACGGGTGGAACCTGGCTGGGGCTTCCAGGCCTTCTGACAGCCATGTGCAAACCTCCACACTAAACGGGGAGGCCGTCCGGGGCCATCCTTCAGAGCGGGGTCGGCCACCGTGCCCCCTGCCGCCCCTGGGCACAGAAGCCCTGACGCGGGGGCACACACGGCGGAGGGAAGGGGCCTCTGACCCGCCAGGGGTGGCCTGGCCGGGGCTTCCGCGGGACAGGACTGCTGGCCTCGCTCCTCCCCCCCCCGCCCGCAGATGGGACGCCACCGAGTGCCAGCCAGCTCACCTCTTCACGCATCTTTTTCACTGTCTCTCCTTTCTGGAATAAAGATTCAGAAAACAGTCAAGGCGTCGCTCCGAGGTTCCACCGTGGGCGAGAGGCTCTGGCGTGGCAGTACGCGGGGCGCGGATGCCTGCCTCGTGCACCAGCGAGCAGCAGCCCTCACGGTGGGGCTAGAGCCTGACGCTGTGGCTCCCTGAAGCCCCCGCCACAGCCCTGCGAGGGGCCCTTCGGGGAGGGGGGCCGGGGCGCCGGCTGGGCTCCTGCCCCGCAGAGGTCTTCACAGCCCTCATCTTCGTCACAGGCAAAGCAGGGCCAGGCCAGGGCAGGTGCCCCGAGGCTCTCGTGGAAAGACCTGGACCTGGACGCCAGGGGGCCTGGAGACGGTCACAGGCCGACCACGGGAGGCGGTGCCTCACCCCAGCCTCTCCCACATGCTTGAGGCTTCCAAATCCACTCTTGCTTTCCCCGAGGCACGTGTCTTTTATTTTGGAAGGGAGATTCCAGAGAGACCACCACCCACTGGCCAGAGGGGAGACCGCTCTGGAGAATGCCAGTGAATCGTGCTCACTGGGCCCTCACGCCCGGGAAGAAGGACAGGCCGCAGGGCAGCAGGGCGGGCTGCTATGGTGACTGGCCGGGGCCTGGCCAGGACGGGGCCCGGGGACGTCGCCTGCTGGGCTTTCAGAGAATCGCACGGGAGGCCCTGGACCGGCCTCACGGGGACTCAGGATTCCACTGGAATCCTCAGGGCGGGGCACACACCACCACGTGGCACGTCGCCCAGCACAGGCCCGGGGCCCTGGCACCTCCTCTCAGGGACCGCAGCACAGGCAGAGCTCGCTCAGTAGTTACCTTCCCGATGATGCTTCCAACTTCCTACAGGAAAAGAACCACACAAAGTTGATGTCATAGAGCAGCTGCGGGAAAGGCCCGTGATGGACACCGAGACCCGTCCGTGTTGGAGCGAGGACAGGGTGTCAGGACTGTCAGGAAGGAGCGCAGTCGGGCCGCCTGTGTGAGGCCCTGGGTCTGGGGGCTCCCGGGTGCCCGTCTGACCTTGGTTAGACCCAGGCCTTGCCTCTGACAGACACATGGACAAGCAGAAGCCAGCGGCTGGCTCCATACAATTAAGTCAGGAGGCATTTCTATGCTCTTAGGGCCTTAAGAAACCAGGAAAGAAACAGATAAAACACAAAATCTTCCCCAATTTTGTGATGTACAGATAATTAAGCACTGCCACTTGCCTTTTCACGTTTTAAGAAAGGATGAGTACTCTATGTGACCCGACCCGGGCTTCTAACACCACCCCCCACTTATAAGAGTCAGGGTTCCCTGGAGAAATGGCTGGTTCCAGGACCGAGGCAGGCAAAGTGCGAGGGAGTCAGGAGGATACAGGGGCCAGCTTGGGGAGGCTCCCAGTGACCGAGTCAGGGTCAATACGGGCATCAACATGAGTAATGACACAATGGGAATAATCTGAATAAAGCAGCAAACTGAGTCCACGGAGACAGGAATGAATGAGCGGATGAATGAATGTGCTGGAGTCTGACAACAGTGGGGGCCCACTGTGGGGAAGGACCAAAGGACCAGTGTCAGGCCCCTGATGCGAGAGCTCCTGTGACTTTGCCGCCAATGGTGAGGAAACATCAGGAAAGCCTCCCTGAGGAAGGATGGAAGGAGATTCCCCCAGGCTGAAGAGGAGGCGTGTCCGGGATGTGGAGGCCTGAATACCCTGACCCCCCACGCGTCCTGTTGTGAAGGGCAGGGCTGGGGCGACGGGTGGCCCGAACGGGGCCCGAGGTCGGGCGGCTGGGATGCATCAGTGTTGGCGTCCTGACGTGGATGGGACACTGTGCCCTTGTTTGTAGGGAACACACACTCAGGTGTCCAGTGACAGGACATCAGGTCACAAGTACCCTCAAGGGTCTCCAGGAGAAACATGCTTTGGAGCGGGCTGTCACTGCTTTGTAAACCTAAGGTTGCCCAGGGCACACCCTCCCCTGCCTCCCAGCTGGTGGGACGCAGTGGCCTTGGGCTCTGTACCTTCCCATGCATCAGCAGACGGATTGTCAGGGTCACGTTCAGGCCGCCTTCTGAGACCTTCGACTCCATCTTTCTCCCAAAATGCGGCTGGGGGTAGTGGCTCAAGGTGCCGAGGGCGCCGTGAGGAAGGACAGATGGGGCCCAGATGGTGTCACCTGGAAAGAGAAGGCACGGCTGCTGCCGAGAACACCGTCAGTGGCCACCACAGTTCGGGGTGTCCTGGCCTACAAGGGCCTTTGGTCTCTGGAGGGGCGAGGGGGTACGGGTGGGTGGTGGGACAGGTCGAGGGAGGGTGCCGCCCTCGCTCCTGCTCTGGTGACACACCAATGCTCACGGGGGGGCAAAGGCTCCGGGAGGGCGGCCCAGTCAGCCAGAAGGTGCGGTCCTGGGACCCACCCTGCCTGACCTGCTGGGGCTTGGGGCACACGGCAGTGGGGGACACAGGTTGGCGGGGAAACCTGGCAGGGACTGACCCAGGCCCCGCCGCTGACTCATGTGTGACCCCCGGCAGGTCACGCAAGCCCTCTGGCCTCAGCTTCCGCCTCTGCACCGAGGGAAACAGTAACAGCCCTCTCCCCTGGAGAGGAAAAGGGGTCAAGTGAGCCCTGGGATCCTCGCGTGGGTCTGCAGTGTCCGTTCTGTTCTGCTGTTATGTTAGTTCTGTGCAAACCCCATCACATCCGTGCCAGAAGCCCCGCCCTCTGGCTGTGACTCCCCTCGCCCTTAAAAAGCCAGGACATTACAGGTATTGGTGTTTCCTGTGTGCTTAGAGTCAAGGTTCCTTGGTAATCCCCGTCTCTAAAGTGGATCTAGAGTCTATTAACTAAGCTACTGAATGGCTGATGCTTTGGCATTATATTATCATAAAGTCTTTCCAGAAGATGCTTTAGGTATCACTATTCTACATCTAATTTCTGCAGACAATGGGTCCAGCGCTTCATCCCCCCGATATAATTAAGGCTTCACTTTATGATTTACAGGCACTCATGATGACAGTAGGCCTGCAGGGCCCGTGGGAAGAGTGACCAGACTGTCCTGCCGTAGTCCTTCTCAGGGAGGGCCCAGGTTCTCCTCCAGGCTGGACCATAGCGTACCGGGTGGTCTCAGAGACGGGTGCCAGTGAGGATGAGAAATGCGGGTCAGGCGGGCCAGGAGAGGGGCACAGCCAGGGGCGGGGGCAGGACCGGGAAGGGTCTCAGGACAGACGGAGAGGCCTGCAGAACCGGAACCAGGCCGGGCGCTGGAGGCTCTGTGGGCTCACCGGACCTGATGCTCTGCAGGCAGCAGGGGTCCTAGAGGTGGGCCGTTTGGGTGGCCTTCCTGGGGGGGCCACCAGTCAGGGCAGCACACGGAAGCCGGAGAGCCGCCTGCCTGCCTGCACACAGGGGGTCTCGGGGTGCAGGCTGTGGGGATGTCACAGGGTGTGGGGAAGTCGCCGGGCACTGGGGTCCCACAGGTGTCAGGGAGGAGCGAGAATGAGGGCAGGACAGGACACGGGGCACGAGCAGCCCCCATAGGAGGGGGCAGTGGCCCTAGTGTCTGGCATGAGGATGCCACCTGGAGGGCAGAGGGAAAGAGGTCTGGCAGGGGGAGGTTCTGGATGACCTGGGGCCCAGGGGCTCCCAAGAGGGGCACCGGGTAGACCCCGCAGAATAGAGAGTGTCCCACATACACCTGCCCGAGTGCCCACCTGGGAGTAGGCGGGGCTGGCTGGGCCGTGAAGGACGAGGCCGGGGAACTCCGGGTGAACTCGGCCAGCACTCCCCACACACAGCCCCACGCTAGGTCTGAGGCCCTCAGGAACAGAAGTCCTGCGTGTGCCCCCCGCCCGGGCGTCTGGACACCAGCCCTCCGATGTAAGCCATAAGGACGTGAGGCTCCGTCCACACACATGAGAGACCACAAGTTAAGAAAGCAAGACTTCCCTTTAACCTTCTAGGTTTTGGGGGGTACAAAAATATTTTTTTCCTCATCAAAACATTTCCGCTGAAAAATATGCTACAAGGAAAATACAAAAATAAAGCACAGAAACCGCACATTCTCACTCTCTGGGTGATGCGTGCAATCGATGTGTCCATACGACAGCCACTGACACATTTCCACACTCACAAACAGTGTGCTATTCTACCCGTGCAGATGTATCCACAGGTAACTTCAACAACTCTAACCATCAGTCCTAATTATGGATGATAAAACGATGCTTTTGAGCAACATGGATTCTGACACGAAGGCGTAGGGCGTAGCGAAGACAGGTTTTAAGAAGTCTATCTCCACTGTCCAACGTGGAAGCCACTACTGCTTGTGGCTATTCACCCCTGAAACAAGAAGCCCACGAGTCACACGCTACGTGTTGAAGAGATGGCCCCGCGTGGCTGGTGGCTACGCACGGGAGAGCATGGCAGAGGACACTAGCGCCAGGGCACAGCTCTGTTGGACGGCGCGGTGCGTGTGGGTGCGTTGGCAGGTCTGGCTGGGGGCGCCACGGAGGAAAGAGCCCAGACAGGAGAGGAGACGACCCGGCTCAGATGATCCCAGGGGCACCGAAAATACACGGTGCCCCTCCTGCACAGCCTCCCTGCAGCGAGCTGAGGCACCAGCACCAACTGGGCAGATCGTGTGCTGGCCAGGCGGGGACGCACGGCCTCCTTTGTAATTAGAAACATCTCCCGTGTCGGGGGGACAGCGGGGCCCCACGGCCTCCATTACGCAAATGTTTCCAGCCCGCAGTGGAGAAAGTGGGTCAGCGAGGGCCAGCGGGCCTTCAGGCTCCAGGCTGTCGACTGCCATCAGTCACACGGGCCAGTGAGCTGCTGCAGAGGCCAGTGCCTTCCTCTGTCATGTGGCCGACAGTGAGCAGCAGTGCCCTCTGCAGACTGCTGGGGACGAGGAGCAGCCCCCGGTGGTAGTTAAAGTCAACTGCGACTCAGTGCCCTTGACCCTGAAGAACCCACCCTGTGTCAGCGGCCGAGGGACCTGCGCTGGCGGATCCCCCAGGGTCATGACTTCTGGCAGATGGGGGGCCATCCTCTGGCCATCCTGCCGGGCCCTGGGACACCAGTTCATCAGGGGCGGCCCCCCAGAGTGCCCGGGCCTACGCTCATCTCAGGGGCCACCCCTGCAGCAGAGTCCAGGGGCAGTACTGTGGGCTGCCCCTGAGTGCACAGCAGCGCTCAGGTCACACTCACCCGAAACCAAATTGACGGGAAATCTGCCAGAAAAAAATCTCTTTGTGTGACTCACTCGTCCCCACACGTGGCGTTCCAGAAGGCAGATCTCTTGTGCCAGCAAGGACCCCACCTTGTGTTCTGTGCATGCTGGGAACTTAGTATATTTGTAATCCACCTAGTGGGAGGGAGAGGAGACACAGGCACGGTCCCCTGCAGGGCCGAGGGCCGAGGAAGGACCCTCCCCTTCTTTCCCGGCTGAACCGGCCGGAGGAAGCCGGTCGGGTTGCCTGTGCTGACACCGTCCGCAGATGTGCCTTGGCTGAAACAGCCCACGCCTGACCCCCACAGCCAGGCACAGCCGACGTGAGCCACCATGGCACGTCTGACCCAGCCAGCCTTCCCAGTCATCCGTCTGTTTGTCTCTGCGCTCCTGCATTCCAGCTACAGGCCCAAACCTGGGGGTTCAGTATCTCCCCTCTCTGGCCCTCGTCGCATTCATTAACAAATCCCAACACACGGATGCAGAGTTAATGAATTCATCTTTGCTAGTTTCTTAGGGAAAAGCCTGATGCCATCAGTTTAAAACCTTAGTTCTTACCTAATATAGGTGTCTAGTTCTATAAAATTTCTCTCTGCATGTGGCTTTAGCAGCATCCCACCGATTTTGATATTCGTGCTTTTTTCACTCATTTCAAAATACTTTCAAATTTCTTCTTATTTCTTTTTTGATTCATGGGAAATTGTGAAGTATGTTACTGAATTTTCAAATACTTGGAGATATTCTAGAATATCTTTCTCTTGTTGATCTCTAGTTAAACCTGTTATGGTTAGAAAACACACCTATGACACCTGAGATCCTTTCTGTGTACTAAGACCTGCTTATGGACCGACCATGGTCTGTCCTGGTAAACGTGCACTCTTGTGTTGGGGGGAGCGTTCTCGAAGCCCGGGGTAGCACCGCCAGTCCTCCGTGGTCCTGTCCCGTCCTGGGGGCGCCGGGGACGCGCCTCCTTCCTGCACCCCAAGCTCTGTCATCAGCATTGCACGGTCTAGTGCCGTGGCCTTCGGTGGATGGACTGACAGACTCCTTTGTCATTGTGAGACATTTCTTTATGTCCGGCCATGTTCTCAGCTCTGAAATTTTGTCTGTTATTAGTGTAGTGACCCAGCTTTCTTCTGATTGGTGTAGCATGGCGTATCTCCTTCCATCTTTTATTTTTAACCTATTTGTGTCTTTACATTTAAAGTGAGTTTCTTGCAGGCAGTTGAACCTTGCCTTCTTATCTTATTCGACAATCTCTGCTTTTTAACTAGGGGTGTTTTGACCATTGACAGTGACTGTTGAGGTGGTCGAGTTTGAAGCCATCATTCTACCATTTGTTTTCTATTTTTACCGTCTGTTCTCTGTTCCCCCACTTCTTTTTTTTATTAAATTTATTTATTTATTTTGAGAGGGAGAGTGCAAGTGGGAGAGAGGCAGAGAGAGAGAGAATCCCAAGTAGGCTCCACACTGTCAGCACAGAGCCCTGTGCGGGGCTTGAACTCATGAACGGTGAGATCACGACCTAAGCCGAAATCAAGAGTCAGGTGCTTAACTGACTGAGCGACCCAGTCGCCCCTGTTTCCCCATTTCTATTGTTTTTTTCCTCTGCCATCTTTGGAATGAATCGCATACGTTTCATGATTCCACTTTTACCTCCTTTGTTCACTTCTTAGTTACAACTCTCTGTTTCGTTACCTTAGCGGTTGTTTTGGGGCTGACACTGCTCATGTTTAATTCATCACAGTGCAGTCCAACTGCCACTTAGTGGTGTGTAAAGACCTCACGTGGGTTGGTAACTGTGCCTCTGTCTCCCCTCTTGTCCTCTGCACCGTCGCTGTGGCATACTTTGGTTCTCCTAGGTTATAAACCAACATTACAATTTCTCATGTAAACACTCAATTATCTTCTAAAAGAACTTAGAGGCAGATGCCTGGGGGACTCAGTC